ACTACTGCCAAGGCGGGGCCATCATAGCCTTCGTTTCTGTCTTAAATTAACCTTCCACCCCAAAACATGCCATAAAACAGAATACTGCTGACTCGACAGTGTTATGTCACTAAGTACAAGCCAAACAGCCTGCCCAGGAGAGGCCTGACCTCTCTGTGATGCTGCACCCAGCTTTTATTAGGCCTCAGTAAACAGGAGGTGGGAGCAGCTGGGGCCCGGCTCACACCTAAGACAATCAAGCTCAGGGTCAAAGAGAGGAGTGAAACATGTGGTGGCTGAACCCACGTGAGGAGGCGACTTGTCAATACTTCATGGGATGTTTGTAACTCCCCTGGGTGGGAATCAGGAGATGGATTGTCACCTCAGAGCCACCACTAGCCTGCTCTATGGTTTGGTTAAGTCATATCTATGGGCCTCGGTTTCCTCACCCATAAAATAAGAGAGTGAGATCAGATGAGTTCTTTCCAGCTTTCATCACACGTCTTGGAGACAGATGTACCTTTCCTTCCCCAACTCCTTCCTTCCCTCTCTGTTAGTTGTGAGACAGATTTTTGGCTCTCACTGAGCAGCCTCTACCAACACTGTGGCCTTTATTACTCCAGTGTCTGGTCATCCCTGAGCACAGAGCCTGGCCAGGGAAGAAGAGGATAAACTTTGGGCCAGATTCTTAAGAATTTAATTAGTACTCTCTGGTCAAGTGATTCAGAGTCCAAGAGCTTGGATAGATATACCAATGTGGACAAAAAAAAAAAAAGGTGTGTGGGGTGTTCCCTAGAGAAAGTAACCTTACAGGGGTGATCTGATTATAAATTCCTAATAGGGCAGGTCAGGGGAGTAGTCATGCCCCAGGCATAGAACTTCTTTAGTAAAAGGCTTATCCTTGCCTTCAGCAAGCCTCATCCACTGTTTCTGTGAATCCAAAGCAACACCTTTGAAATGCTCCTTCTCAGACCCGCCCTTGTAAAGCATAACCACCCACAAGAGAGCACATCATCTTTCTTAACCCTCCTGTAATCCCACCCCTCCCCCACCCCGCCTGGCTTTCTCCCACTTTCCTGTGATATTGCTTATGTTCCCTCCATGATTCCAAATGCATAAAAGAAGCTGCAATCTGTCATTTCCTCCTGGAAGCATTTATCTCAATCTGCTGAGATCTTGCTTCCAGGCGTAATCCTCTGTTTGGCTCAAATAAATTTTTATGATAATTCTCTACAGTTTGGACGTTCACACATCAATACCAACAACCCCTAATCACTGGCTGGCTTCTTCCCACCCAAGGATTTTCCCCACTTCCTTCCTATGCCAATCCATACACCACAGGTCCCCAACACTCTCCCCAAATCTAGCCAAACACTAGACCTTCCCCCAAGCTGCTGGGCGGAGACCAGGGCAGCAAAGGCAGTTCTTATCTGCATGCTGGCTTATCTGAGGGGTGGGGCAGAAGTGGCAAAGCTACAAAGACCAGGAGAAAAGTGCTTACAGAAGCAAGCTCTGGCCACGTGAGGAGGAGGAGACAGGAAGGAAAAGACAGACAGAGTGAGCTCCGGCAACCACAGAAGTCTAAGAGGCTCCTTTAAAAGGCCACAACCCTCAATGCCCCCCTTGTTTCCTCAATAAGAAATCTGGGGACAGGTAAAATTCAGTGACTGGCCCAAGGTCATGCTGCTAAGCTGTGAACAACCAATGCTAGAATATGGGTCTCTGGTCTCAGCCAACTCTTTATTTTCCATTCCACTCAGTTGACCTCAAGAATCTATTTAGATTGGATCCTCTGCAGATTCTGTGCAACATGACCCAAGCCTCACTTAGGGAAAGAACAGGCCCATCTGATATTTTGATAACTGCCTCCCGTACCCTATGCATTCCTTCCCAAATTGACATGGCCCACTTGTTCTTTCTTCAGCCCTCACCACAAAATCTTGGGGAGTTCAGAGGTCAGTGAGAAGGCAAGGCTAGGTCTTCCTAACCTTACAAAACCCTAAATATCCGAGAGAACCCACAGGATCCTCTTCCTCCAGCAGAAGGCTGCTGGGGAAGACAGACAGGAGGGGATCAAATGAACCCACTGGATGTCTGACCTGAGTAGGCCAAGAGTATCCATTGTGGGCAGTTAGATGGGTCATCTGAAGGTTTATAACAACAAGCAATAGGATCTGCCTTTCAAAGATCCCTGTTGGATGGGTCATCTCAGCATCAGGAGCAGACAGCTCTGAGTAAAAGATTCAAGGCATTAATTATTTAGTGTGCATGACCCAGTTCTGGGAGGTGAGGCTGGGTGAGAAGAGAACTCACCAGTTCCTTATCGTGGCAAGAAATTCAAATACTTCACAGAGTAGTGTTCCCTTGCTGCCAAAGAGGATCCATTTATGGGTAAGTGTGGAAAAAAAAAAAAAAAAGAAAGAAAAGAAAAAGAAAAAAAGAAAGAAAGATAAAAGAAAAGCCAAAGTTCACTCATTCAACAAATATTTACTGAGCTCCCCTATATCCTACCCCCTCCAGGAACTTAGCTGTGGTCGGAGCATAGTAGAGGAGAAAGAGCACTGAGTTCATAAACAGGAGGCCTGGACTGTGTCCCATCTCAGCCCTTATTCTGGGCAGGTTACAGCCTAAGTCAAATTTCTCATCTGTGAAATGGGAGTAAATCTACCCTTATTATGAGATGAAATGATCTTTATAAATGTAAACTGCATTGTAAACCTAAGGTATCAACAATAAAGATATAACACCAAACACTTTCCCTGCCCTACAAGTTTAGATGTTTACAACCTGGTCATGTTCAGGAAAGTAATCCAAGGTACCTATTAGGGAAACATTACATTCTCTGTAATTTGAGCAAATTGTATGTTTCAACCTGCCTGTAGGGATGGAACCTACAGTCAGTCCTGGACTCTCAGTCTGTATGCCCAAGCAGGGACAGAATAAAAATGGAAAGGGTAGTCAGCACCTATCCGGTCCAATAGCAAGCCTAGACTGAGCAAATGACCAGGAGAGCCCCAAGATTCAAAAGGAGGAGGGGACAGAAGACAAACTGGGAGTGTGGTCAATCAGAAACAACAACAAAAAATTCACTTAGGTACAATAGGGATAAGCCAGCTAGAAACTTACGTACTACTTCCCTCCCCATCCACATTTCAGACCATGATGGGATTTACTATCTGCTGCCCCACCCTCCTCTTTGGACAACTCAACTTTCTGTATTTCTCCAGGAGACAGGAGGGATGCTCAGGCTCCTGAGCAGGACCTCTTTGCTCAGACACTAAGAATCAGAATTAGATTTTAGAGAAGCTTTCCTTTGATCCAGTCAACCCCTCTCATTCTGCTGATCAGGATTCTCACCATGAACTCCTCATCCCCATGGATCCTCAGTGCCCACCAGGCTAACCTCTTGAGTGGGGCCCTGAGGATACCCTGTAGCCCCTCCTCTCCTTCCTCTACAATCCCTCCAACGCAGGGCACTCCTTAAATTCTTCAACCCCCTGTCAATGCAAAATGATAGTCCCCAGATAGTCTCTGGTGGATGTATACAGAGGGAGGTAGAGGCAGTGTGGGGAGAAGTGGAGGGAAGGCTGGGCTAGAAGTCCAGAGCCTGCCTTCCAAGTCGCCATATGGCCCTGGTTGGTTATGTAATCGTGAGAAAGTATCTGCAGGCCAGGCCTCAGTTTCCCTATCTAGTAATGAGGGGTTTGCTCTACATTATCTCTTGGGTGCTCTCTAATTATAACATTTGGTATTACAGAAATTGCCCTAGTCTGGACCACAGGAGATTGGGTCCTGGTCCATATTAGGCTGGTTAGCTGACCACACACACCCAAAGACCACCTCAGACTCCATGTCTATAAAATAAATGAGAATGATGTGACTACCCTTCCCAAGGGGTAAGGTAGAGCTTTGTTAGCCACAAGCCCTGAAGAACCCTCAGGCTTTGAATTCCTTGAGCCAACTAACAGCTGTGACCCCCGCCCTTGTGCCCAGTACTGTATCCACTGGGATGGGGCTGCCCAGCTCAGACAGGAAGGCTGCAGGACAGGTGCTTGCCCTCAAGGCTCTCACAGCAGGTGGGTGAGACAGACAAGTGGACAAACCTTACCTCAGCCAATGCTGTGCCTAAGGTCTGAACAAAGGACTATGGGAGTGTAGAGGAGGAAGAGGCGCCAATTTTGCCCTGGGGAGTGAGGGAAGCTTCTCAGAGGGAACAGTGAGTCCCAGAAGCGGGGACCTATTCCAGGAGTAGATGGACTGGAGCCAAGGCAAAGAGGAGAGGCAGAAAACAAGGCTGGACTAGGAGGCTGAGGTCTGACTGGAGGAGGCCTTGGAGGCCAACAGCAGAATGTTGGTCAGACAAGTCTTCAAGGAAGGAGCCTGAGAAAACCGTGGGAAGGCTCTTCAATAACAGTGCAGGAAAGGTGACTGAAAAACATGTCATTATTGATTTCTGCCTATACCTTAGCCTCCTAGACCCTCAGCCTCCATGGACCTGCAGAAAATATATAGCGATTTAAACAGGCTGTTCTCCTCAGAGGAAGAGGCTGCAATCACATTTCCAAATCTTGGACAAATGGTCTACGGTGCTCTTGAAGGCACTCCCGACAGAAACTACTCAGCCATATTTTTGCCTTGGCACCAGTTGGGGCCAGAAAGAGACTGAAACATTGTCAGAGCTGGGGCTGGAGTCAGGACAGCCAGGCTGCTGGGCTTCCTCAGGGAAAGAGGGGGCAGAGATCCCATCCACCCAAAGACCACTGAGTTAGACAGGTCCATCAGGTCCTCACACACATCTCAGTCTCTAGCCTGTCTCCCTCGGTCCTCTGACCACGTGGGAGGGCTGTACGCAGGTTGCAGGCAAAAACAGAGCTTTCACTAGCCATCGTTTCTTCAGATGGGCTCACATTCACTTGGGCCTGTAGAAAGAGAGCAAGCACCCCTACACATTCCAAAGCCTGAGGCAGCCCCCCAAGAGCTACCCAGTGGTGCAGTAAAGTGGTGCACTGTGGCTTACTCACCTGCTCCTCAGGCATCACAGTGACTCAAGTTGCTCCCTTCCAGGACGAGCCCCGCACAGATTGCCATGTCCCTTTAAAAAAAAACAAGAGCCAGTGAACGTTACTTTATCACACATTACAGCCTCATATCTTCTCCCTGCCAAGAGGGCCCCCGCCCCCGCATGCTTGTGCACTTTGCCCCTTAGTAACACATTGCCCAACTGGAGGAAACAGAGAGCTCCTCTCTGTGCTCCCAATCTTGCATGTGAAGAAAGAATTGTGAGATGCTCACACAAATGCTATTGTCTGCCACTGTCTGGGCACCCCATGGGCTTATCACATCTCTACACAAAGGCTTGCAGAGAAAGGGAGGTGCACCTGGGGGAAAATGTATTATTAGACACTTCCGAATAAACAAAGAATGCCAGAATTTCTAAGCTTAGGACACGACAGAAGTAAATCAAGCTGATATAAACACTCGTAACAAGTCACCAATATGAAATGTGTTACAAGGTGGAAAAGTCCAACATGCTAAATACACTAGGAAGTTATAAAAGGGGGCCACCTGATCGTGGCTGGGCTTCCTAACCAAATTATTATTTTGGCTTCCGATGACCACCCAAATGATTTGATTGCATCTATGCTTCCATAGAACACACCTCTGCACCTGTCCAGAAAACGGGCCCCAGAGTTGCAGGTGTTTCTGAAGATTTACTTTCACGATTGTAAATTGTACACAAGACGCAGCCTTTCATAAACAGAAGTGAATGCAGGTGTGCATGTTGCGATCTCCAAGAGCTAATCCCCATTCTCCCTGGATGCACACACACACGTTTTCAGCAGGGCCTATGTGCCCACATAAACACACAGGTGTTCTCTCTAATACACACAGGTCTGCACTGAGAGCCAGGGGTTGGGATTCACTGTTCAGAATTCTCAGGCTATTCATGGGAGAGAAGCTACTACTGACTGAGCACAGACCAAGCATGGGATGAGCACTGTTAGGGACTAGACCTGCTTTGACTCGGTGGCTCCTCATAGACGGACAGGGGCTCAGAGAACAGAAGGCCCTGGCTTGGCCACACTGGGGCTGTATGCTCGTGGTCTATCCCACCACCAGGTGAGAGGTGTGCTAGTGCAGCTGCGTGCTGGCAAGCTTTGAGAGCAGCCACCTGGGCATCATCTCTGTCATCATCATCATCATCATTATCCAGCCCGTGGCAGCTGACAAACAGGATGGCCCGCCTTGGCCACATTCTATCAGCATGAGCTGTAGGCTCTGTGGAGTCATCTGGAGCCAGAAGTACAAGAGGCTGGAGTCTACCATTTATCTGCTTATCCTGGCAGAGATTTCTACCATTGCTCTCCCCAGGTTTGAAACTGGGACCTCCCCATGCTCCTCAGATCTCAGGAACAGAAAGCCCTGTCTACCCAAGGATGCTCCTGAGACTAGAAGCAGAGAAGCAGGGAAGCGGGGTTCTTTGAGGTTCTGCTTGGGTTGTCTGCATGGCAGGTGCAGGTGGGCACTTCCGGGCCAGCCTACAAAGGCTACTACCAATCAGATTCCCACACAGGCCTGAGCACACTGTGACCTAGCCACTCCAAGTACCAACTTGTACCCTTTCTCTGACCATCAGCCAAACATGTTTTGAGCTACCTTTATTTCCACTAAATCAGAAGGCCTGGAGCCCAGCATCATTCCTGCTTTACAGGAGCCTCAGCTTCATTGTCTGTAAAATGAGAAGCTTGACCTAATTGGTGATTTCCTCACCAAGGATGCCTCCTAGCTGACCCCTCCATGGGCCCTGACTTTTTTTCAGAGACAACTGAAAAAAATTAGTCAGTTTTTTAAAGGAAGGAGAGAGATTCATCCATGGGTGGTTATCATTTGCTACTTCAGATAATTGTCCCAGCCACCCAATGAGTCAGGTAGTAAAGGTATGTCACAGATGGGGAAACTGAGGCAAGGTACAGCCAAGGGCTGCCTTTCCTGGAGACTCACTCAGCTCTGCCCACAGCAGCCTGGGACTCACAGTTGAGCTGGCCTGGCTCCATGCCCATGCTCACTCCCTGATACGAAGTTTTTAATCGGAACGAAGAAAACAAGTCTCCTCTTGCACCTGCCATCATGCCAGTGCCAAGCAAAGGAGCATGAGGTCTCCAGGCCCCTGTGGGCCTGACTTGGGTGGTGTAGGAAAGGTCTCCTGTGATCTCAAGTGGCCTCAATGATCTCGAGGAGACTAAGAACAATTTGGAAACCTTTCCCTCTGCTGTTCTCCTAGCCTACCTCCATAGAGGCCAGGCCTTCACTAAGGGGCCCAAGAATCTGGAGCAGGGCCTGGCGCCTGCACACTGGGCACTCCATCAACATGGGATGAATGGAGGGATGAAGAAATCCAGAGCTTAGATGCACGGAAGACTTACTCAGGACCCGCTGGTATGAGTTAGAGTGAAACACACCCAGCTTGGAGCCACAAAGCCTCAGCAACATGCACCGAGAGGAGGTCTCCACACTCCAAGCTCCCAGACAGAGGATGAAGGTGCAGATGCTGAGCCAGGTCTGCTCTTCGTCCAAGTCACCAGGGGAGCTTCTGACAGAGCAAGGGAAGTGTCTTATGTAAAGGCTACCCACTGAAGTGGTCCTGAACTCAGGCCCTGGAATGAGGCAAACCAGGCTTCCTATCCCAGCCGTCACATTGAATGAGTCAGGTGACCCCTGGGCAAGCCACATAATCTGCGTGAGCCTCAAGTTCTTATCCGAAAGTAGGGATAATGTTAGTGCCTACTGTGTAGGGCTGTTCTGAAGATGAAATGAGAGAATGCTGTAAAGGATATAGCCCAGTGTGTAGCTCACAGTAAATGCCTGCAGCGGACAGCTGTTATTGTCTGCATCAGAGTGGGTGGTTAAAAGCACATCTGGAGTCCTTTGCATGGGTTCCATTCCAGCTTTCCTATGAGCTATGTGGCCCTGGGAAAATTGCTTAACCTCCCTGTGCCTCATCTTCCTGCTATGTAAAATGGGATTGATTTGAAGATTAATGAGCTATATAGGTATAAAATGCCTGGTGCAAAATAAGCACTCAATAAAAGTTAGTATTATTCTTACTTATTGGTAGTACTAGTATCCTTCTCCCTTTGTTCTGATAACAGATTTCACCGCATTTTCTACTCCCCAGACAAAAAGGTGGTCATGGGACTCAAGATAGGTTCATCAAAGTATCTTTCCTCCTCGGCCATAGTCATGGGTACAAAGGGTGTGCCCATGCTCCAAGCTGGGAAAATACCCAATCTGAAAAATCATAGTGGAGGCCTAGTCCTCTTGGGAAGGGTGGAGGGCTGTGTGGGGTCAACTGGCAGCTCCTATACAGCCACAGGCCACTAAGCAGAAGGGGTATTGTTTTGGGGATGCCAAGGTCACCAACCAAGGTCATCCACCCAACCTGGAGACAGTCTTTAGAAAATAGACTGTCTTTAAGGCCCTGTGGGATAGGCAGCAAGGTGGATACCCACAGTGCATCTGTGGGCATGTTTCCTTCTCTGGACATGGGCTATTTTAAGCTCTAAGAGCGTCAGTGCAATGCTAATGAGATGGCATTTATCCATGGGTTTTAGCTGGATATGCCTGTCAGAATCCCATGAAGAGATTTTTTTTTTTTGGGGGGCGGGGGGGGGACTTGTATTTGTTTTATTTCTCCACAGCTTTACTAAAAGATTCTGACTTAACAAGTACAACTACAATGGCTGATACATTGCATTGTGCTAAACTGTAATCTTTGCTTCCTCCCATTTTCTCCCCACCTGTGGGCCACCACCCAAAGATGGTCTATTCCCATACCTCCAGGTCTTCTAACAGTCCCTTGCCACTCCCTCTAGGAAAAGGAGCTCTGTCTTCAGATGTGCTTTAAAGGGTTTTGGAGAAACAAACAAAAACAAACCCCTGGCTGGTACCAAAAACGAAGAACCAAACCCCACCCTCCACTCCTGCATCATTAGCCACGGGTGAACAGAATGAGCGCACACATTCTCTCGCTCATCCCCAGGGGGCCTGCACCCAGGCCAGCACAGGCATAAACTCAGCAACGCATGCGGTGAGGACCCTGCTGACGCAAACTTCAGCGGGTGCCAAAGGAGACTCAGCAGGAGAAGAAAGTGGCAGCTTCCAACTTTTGCTGGAGAAAAAGTGGAAACAGTGACCTGAAAGGACGCAAAAACCATCCTGACCACAATGATGTCAAGAGCAGCCACCCTTGGCAGGGTGTGGGCTGGACCTGAGGGGCGGGGGCACACAGGAAGCCATTCCAAAGAGGCCTCACCCACCACCACCACCCCACACACACACACACAACCCCGAAGGACACACGCAGGGCCACACACTGTCCCGAGCCCGCGAGCCAGCCACTGGCTTGTCTCTTTGTCTCGCAGCAACGGGGTTCAGGCCGAGGGGGATTATCCAGACAGGTATTTCCCTTGCTTCTCCTTGTCTTTTTATAACTGTATGCTCTGCTACTTAACAATGCACAAAGACATAAAAAGGAACTGGCTGGCGTCCCCTCGGGGAAGGATTTGGGACCACATTCCCTGGCTGGTGTGAAGCTGGTGCCACACTGCCCAGCGCTGCCTGGTGTCGAGGTGGTGTGCACCGCCCCTGCAAGGATCCGTGGGCAAGCTGATGGGTCTGAAATCTGAAAGGGATGGAATGCTCAGGGGTCCCATTTCCTGCCCCACCAACATGGTTCTCCGTAAACCAGCCAGGAAAGATCATTCGCTGAGCATTTGCCAAGCGTCCTGACGGGGACTGTGAAGAATTCCTGGGGAGCAGGAGCCTGGACTTTGGAAGCAGAGGCAGTAGAGCAGAGTGCTGAGACCGTGGATAAGTCATCACTCCGAGGCTCCCCTGCTCCCTTTTGGGGGACGCTGTCTTCCTTACACAGCCAGGGTGTGGACTCATAGATAATACATGTCAAAGGACAGTCACGGCTGGCGTGTTAGAGTTGCTATGAGCTAGGAACTGCGCGCTAAGTGCACTGCATCGATTATTTCACCAGATTCTCACAACTTCCCTGTGAGGGGTGCAGGGGCAGGGGTCCTCCAG